GGGAAGGAGCTAGAGCAGTGGGGGAACAGGGCGGGAGGTGGCATCAAAGCAGCCCAGTGCTTCCTCGAATTGACCATTCTGTGATGAATTACCTTATTTGTGGCTGGAAAGGCCAGGAAAGAGGAATTCAGGAATGTGGCATCGGGGGTTAAGCCCCAAGGCTTTCCGTAAAGAAATAAGATTTTATTAGTTGAATTTTTACAGCAATGCAGGCTCACTGCAGAGATCAGAAACATTTAGAAATTGCAAAATTTTTTGTTGTTGTTTTGGTTTCTTATTTTTGGAAAGGATAGTGTGTCCCACCCAATACGTTCAACGATATTTCATAATTTGAGAGTACTCTTAAATTTAAACAAACTTTTTAAAATCTTAGAATAGTTTTAGATATTCAAAACAGTCGCAAAGATAGTATAGAATTATATTGCCATGTACCCCTCAACGAGTTTCTCCTATATATTTTTTTAAACTATATTTTATTGATTTCAGAGAGAGGGAGAGGGAGAGAGAGAAACGTCAATGATCAGAGTCATTGATCCGCTCCCTCCTGTGTACCCCCTGCTGGGACCGAGCCCACAACCTGGGCATGTGCCCTGACCAGGAATCGAACTCGGATCTCCTGGATCGTAGGTCGATAACTGATGTGCCTCCCCCCTGGGCCCCGATAGGGGCTCAGGGATTGAACCTGCAGCCCATATAAATGCCCTTGACTGGGAAGTGAGCCCATGACCCTTTGCTGTGAAGGCCTAGGCTCTAATCACTGCTCCACACTGGCCGGGGCAGATTTTCCTTGTTTTTAATGAGCTTGAAGGTTTGAAAGAGTACTGGTCAAGTTGTGTGGCAACTGCCTCTCCTGTGGGTTTATTTGATATTTCCCTCGTGGTGGTTCTTGTGAGTATGGGTTTGGGGAGGAAAACCACAAGGCTGAAGTGCCTTTCCCATCACAATGTGTCAAGCACACACACTATCAACATGACTTATGTCTGTGATTTTAAGCAACTAATTTAACAACAGTTAAGGATTTGTGAAGTTTTAAAAGTACAAACTCTCCACAAGATGTCACTGTTAACTTATGTATGGGCAGGAAGGTTGCTTCTAAAAGCAGTTAAGTTTTTCTGGGCATATGTGGTTAGAAACCATTATTTAAAAACCTTGGCAATAATGAACCCCCTAAATGTTTCATTTTTACAAAGCCACTAGAATGTTTAGAGTTTACAATGTTAAATTTTTTTTCTTTGAGTTTTGCAAAATATTTTCCCTTGAACTCACACCCAAGCATATATATTTGGATATTTAATTTAAAACGATATGGTTTGCAAATGAAGTTGAATGCGTAATAGAATAAAAAGCAAACCCACATAAATTGCTCTGAGTCTATATAATTCTCTTAACCAGTAACAATCGCTTAATTTGAACTGATGAACATTTCTCCCACAAAATATTTGATAGAAGATGGAAAGCAGAGCTTCCTACGAGATGCTTTACCTGACTTGGATGGGTCTTGTCCCCAACAACAGCTTAGAAATGGAAGTATTAAATGTGTACATCTTGCATTTTTTTAGCTAAATAACAAAAAATTACTCTGCAGGTAAAGTAGAAAGAAATCTATTTTTAAGCTCCCAGTTTAAGCATATTTATACTTAAACCTTCCTGGATGTAACAGTTTGGATTCCCAAAAAAGATCC